CGCCGTCNCTTTACTGTATAACATATGTCAGTCCCAAGTGTGAAGGTATACATATTCGCATACCTGTCCTTAACTGGTAGACCATCGTTCCACGGACTCATGATATCGATTGTTCTGTCTCTTCTCCTCCAAAACAGAAACCTAGCGCAACGAAGCAGAAGAAACACAACCAATCAAGCGCCTCTAAATCACCCGCTAACACCACCAACACCAGCCTACACACTCCCACTATAGTGGTGGATTCCCGAACAGAACCCCTGGTGTGTGTGGTTGGTTTGTTTCTCTTTTGTGAGTGGTAGAAGCACTCGGCGGATTAAAATTAAAGTACCATCACCCCCCCCCCATACACACGCACAGACTTGTCCAGACTAGTGTGTGTGTCCAATGGTGGAACAAAGTAGGTGTTGACTACGGTTTTATCAACATCCTTGTATTTCGATCACAGACCCAAGCGTGTGAATCCGTTACATAAACGTTAATGTCTTCTTCGGCTGTGTGGTGGTATGGTCAAGTAACGCCATTTGGTTTGTTCTGTGGAGGTGCTGAGTTGTTCTATGCCGCCGTTGACTATGCATGCGTCAACGCTATTGGTACATTCAGCTGCACTGACTGTCCCATTATTAACCAAACGTTTATTTACTTTAGTATACTCTGCTGTGATAAACCCGCTACTCACTGCTACACCGGGCCGAGGCGTATGTCTTGATATAGTTCACGTTCTTGGATTGGTAACGGTATTGGGCCTTAGGCGCTTGTTCGATTGGGCCAAGGCGTATGTCTCGATATAATTTACGTTCTTGGATTGGTATTGGTATTGGGCCTTAGGCGCTTGTTCGATTAACGACATATCATGCCTACGCTCCTGTGCCGTGCACTCGTCGTCGGTGTTCCTACGAACAACATGATTCCTTGGTTGCCAATGGGTGTGGTAGATACAGGCCATGGAATATGTTATGCAAAATGTTTATATCTGTATGTATAATGTTTATATGTAGATGTAGAATGTTTATATGCATATATATAGTGTTTATATGCATATGTATATATATAGTGTTTATATGTATATGTATAATATATATATATATATATATATATGCATACTGTTTGTATGTATTTGTATATACACAAAAGCGTATATCAAGTCTCGTGTACACACCTGTATGTATTATACTAAATCCAGTATCACTTTTATCTACCCAGGTCGAAAGGCGCAGTAGCCGCTCGAGGGCTCCTCCGTGCAACTACTGGTCGGGCGAACATCGCAGGGTCATGGTAGATGAGGTATGCAAATGATGTTGTGTGTTTGTGTGTATATGTTCTTCTTCATACACTTGTAAGCTATGTCACTACTTTGATAATATAATGTATAGCGCTATTTCACTCTGAACCGTTGGTGAACTAAGTAAGATACTCACAAGTAAGGTACATCTCCTTGGTTGGTTGTTGGTGGTGTATATGCGTGCATGGTTGTAATGGGTTAGGTAGATGTTTGTATAGACGTGTGTTTTATGATTTTATACATTCGTACTGCACGGGTCTGGCTAACGTTGGCGGGTTATGGACAAGGTTTATGAAATAAACAGTGTTCACGTATGCTATGATATAAGAAGTGTTTACGTATGCTACGAAATAAGAAGTGTTTACGTATGCTACGAAATAAGAAGTGTTTACGTATGCTACGAAATAATAAGTGTTTACGTATGCTATGTAATAAATAGTGTTTACGTATGCTATGATATAAGCAGTGTTTACGTATGCTGTGATATAAGCAGTGTGTACGTATGCTATGATATAAGCAGTGTTTACGTATGCTGTGATATAACCAGTGTTATTGTATACGTGTCAACAGGTTCTATATGCACTTCCAGGTGAGTTGTTGGCTTAGGGTTTTAGGGTTTAGGTTTGTACGTTAATTGCTTCGTCGTTTGCCCACTATACTATATGTGGTGGCAAACCAACTGTAGAGTGACCCGCCCAGGCTGTGCTACACATGTGTGTGCGTGTGGGGTGTTATCTGGTATCTTGACATAT